ACCTGCCCGCCGTCCGACCGAGTGACCACGTCCGTGGAAGTGGAGAAGACACGGCCAGAGATATACCAGCTCTTTGGCTACGGAGACGTGGTAGGAAAGCCTCTGTCTGGGGGAGAAGCCAGGATGATGGGGCAGAAACGAGACGCTAATCTTTATTGTCATTGTCCCGTACAGAACAAGAAAATTGAAAAATCTACGTAAGACATTCAAAACCCAACAAGCCTGCTATCCCAGCTATCCCAGCCTGGTTAGCCCCCTAAAAACTCTGATACCCCATAATTAAATACAATATACTCCCACAGAGACTACCTTACACTGCGTTTAACACCAAAATCGCATTTGAGTAGAAACTGTTTCTCAGGCAGGTCTTTATAACCCTGTACCTTCTTCCAGAAGGCAGAAGCTGAAAGAGATCATTTCCGGGGTGCGCACTATCCTGCGCTATCTCTGCAGCTTTCTTATGGCGCCTGGAAGCATAGATTTGATCCAAGGTGGGAAGAGTGCACCCAATTATTCTCTCCCGCAGTCTTGACAACCCTGGACAGCATTGTTTTCCCTGGCTGTGCAGCTCCCAAACCGCACACACAGGCCACAAACAGCCCCTGACTTCGGAGCAGGAGCCCCCATTCAGGGTCAGGGCTTGGCGGCACCTCCCTGGCGCTGCCCAGCGTTGCCCGTGTCCTTTGCCCCACAGCCTCCTCTGCACAAGGGGGAAAGCCTCTGAGCACAGCAGCTGCTGCTTCTGACTCTGGCACGGAAGAGGCCTTTGGCTGAGGAAGAGGCCTTTGCGCGGCTCCGAAGAGCCACAGGCTGGACCAGGCAGACCTCCTCATCCTGGGGGGCAGGCTCCTCTATACTCAGAACGTCCTCCTTACATGGAACGGACTCCCTTGGAGATTTGAAAGATGGGTGGACATCTGGCAGGGATTCTTCAGTTGTGGTTCCTGCATGGCTGGGGGTTGGGCTTGTTAAAGTTTGTGGGTCGAAACCTTTGACCCAGTGGGCATAGCTGTCAACCGTCCCTTATTTGGCAGGAAAGTCCCTTATCCCAGCGCCGTGTCCTGCCTGCTGTCCCTTACTGATGATGTCCCTTCAATTTCCCGGGCTTTCAAGGAAGCAGCTCCTCCCTCCCTCCCTCCCTGCCGGCCAGGAGGAGGGAGGCTCCAACTTTGTTGGCTTGGCTGCGTTGCTCACCCAATAAGGAGTCCAAGAACGACTGGGGGGTGGTGCTTGCTTGCCTTGTGCCAATCAAATCGGCCGCCTTGCCTGGGGACCTCGCCTTGCTCAGCGCTTCCCAGCAGAGAGGTGACGGTGGTTTCCTTGCTGCATCCCTTTGCCGGGTTGCTGCGCTGTGGAAACACCACTCTGAGGCTTCATTTGGCTGCTGGCTGGGCTTTCTGCCTTTGGCTTGGAGGGGCTCAGAAGGCGAATATACCTGTGCTCTGAAAATCCCTTATTTTGGCTGCTGATCCCTTATTTTCGAGGCTGCTGGTCCCTTATTTTCAAACCTGTAAGTTGACAGCTATGCCAGTGGGTCATGCAGGAACTGTGGCTTTGCCTGTGTCTGTGTGGTGTCTTCAATAACTCAACTCGACACCAGTGCTTCTAATCTATCACTCTTTATTTTGAAGCATACAAAACAGAAAAGAAAACCTACAAAAAAGAAAACCTTTCTGTCTCTAACAGAACTGAAACTATCTCGCTCCCATTCTCAGACACTCTGCACTCGGAGAGAGCTCAGCCCACAGGAAAATGCCCGGCTTATATGGGCAGTGCACCCAGTTAATAAGAAGGCCTCCTGGGAGTGTTAACTCTCAACTGTCCAGAACCACAACAGGGCTGGATGACCCCTGGGGGTCCCTTCCAACTCTCCCGTTCTAAGTTCTGCTTGTGAAGCACTGCCTGGGCTGAGCAGCAGGAAGGCAGTGCTGCCCTGGGGGTGGAGGACTGACCTCAGAACATGAAATGAGCTCTGCTGGACCAGCATCCTGTTCGCCCACAGGGGCCAAAGACCCCTAAGACCCCAGGAGTCTAGACTGCCTCTGGAACTGGAGCCTCTGCCTGACAAGCCTAGCTGCTGGTCAGTGGGGATCCCACCTAGTCCAGCCTCCTGTTCCTCACCATGGCTGACCAGATGCCCATTACGGGAAACCCACAAGCAGGATCTGAGCACGAGAGCAACTCCTCTCCCTTGCTGCCCTGGCATTCAGAAGCATCTCTGCATCCTGGCAAGTGGCCACTGAGAGCCCCTTTCTCCCCCATAAGTTTAGCCAATCCTCTTTTAAAGCCGTCCCGGTAGGTGGCCATCTTGTGGGAGGGAGTTCCACAGTCTAACACTGTGCTGCAGGAAGGAGTCCTTTCTGCATCTTCCAACATTCATCTTCCTTGGGCGCCTGGGAATTCTAGTCTTATGAGAGAGAGAGACCAAGAGGAGAAGGGGACTCTGGCTTCTTCTCCCTCCAGGTCTTTGTCAGCAAGGACGTGGCCAAGGCGAGGGCTTCTACCCGGCCGCCGAAGCTGTCAAGGGGCTCCGCAGATATCTGAAGCCGGGGTAGGTGGAGACCACCCAAGGAGAAGGGGCAGGCTGGATTGCCTCTGGGTGCCCTCAGCCCCCTGCCCACCCTCTGGCATGGGAGGGGAACCTCGTGCCAACTCCAGCATCTAGATTTAATGCGCAGCTGGCCACTGGCCCTTCGGTGCTCTGTGGGGAATGCCAAGAACATGAGGCTCTTCACCTCAGGGTTGTGGGGTCAAACCCCATGTTGGGCAAAAGGATTCCCGCCTTGCAGGGGTTGGACTAGATGACCCTCCCAATTCTACAGTTCTACGCAACGCTCCAGAACTGCTCCTTATTCTTCCCTGCATCTTTTCTTTCTTTTTTTTTAAAATGATTTTTATTAAGATTTCAATAAAAAGTTAGACAGAAAAACATGGAAAATACACAAATACACAATACATAATCCAAAAAAAGAAGAAAAACACAAAGAGCAGAAAACAAAACAAAAAAGAAACAGAACAATTAAAAACAATATCACCTTTTCATTTCCGTTTTTAAATTTACTTATTTTCTGGACTTCCTCATACCTCCCTCTTTTGTATTCCAGTCCAAATTGTTTGTCCAGCAATTTCTTTTCCACTTTTTTAATCCCAATCTTTAATCTTAATATAATATAGCATTAAAATTTTATCTCTTAAGTACCAAATTTCCATTTCATTAAATTTCTTTAATCCTAATCTTTAATCTTAGTCTATCTATAACTTTATCCTGTACAGCTGGAAACCACTTATTTTCAATTCAACATCACTCTAACTTTAATTTTGCAGTGTTTCTGTAGATAATCTTTGAATTTCTTCCAATCTTCCTCCACCGACTCTTCTCCCTGGTCACGGATTCTGCCAGTCATTTCCGCCAATTCCATATAGTCCATAAGTTTCATCTGCCATTCCTCCAGCGTGGGAAGTTCTTGTGTCTTCCAATACTTTGCGATGAGTATTCTTGCTGCTGTTGTTGCATACATAAAGAAAGTTCTATCCTTTTTGAACACCATTTGGCCGACTATGCCCAGGAGAAAGGCCTCTGGTTTCTTAGGGAAGGTATACTTAAATACCTTTTTTAATTCATTATATATCATTTCCCAGAAAGCCTTAATCTTTGGGCACGTCCACCTAAAGGTGAAAAATGTACCTTCAGTTTCTTTACATTTCCAACATTTATTATCGGGCAAGTGATAGATTTTCGCAAGCTTGACTGGGGTTATGTACCACCTATATATCATTTTCATAATATTCTCTCTAAGGCATTACATGCCGTAAATTTCATACCTGTGGTCCATAACTGTTCCCAGTCAGCAAACATAATGTTATGTCCAACGTCCTGTGCCCATTTAATCATAGCCGATTTTACCGTCTTAGCCTTGAGTATTCCATTTCAGCAGCAAGTTATACATTCTTGACAAATTCTTAGTCTTGGGTTCTAACAATTCTGTTTCTAATTTGGATCTTTCCACCTGGAAGCCAATTTTCCTGTCCAAATTAAATACCTCCATTATCTGATAATAATGAAGCCAGTCTCGCACTTTGTTTTTTAATTTTTCAAAACTCTGCAATTTCAGTCTATCTCCATCTTGTTCCAAAATTTCCCAATATTTCGGCCATTTGACCTCCATATTGACCCTTTTCAAGGCTTTCGCTTCCATTGGTGACAGCCACCTTGGAGTTTTGTTTTCTAATAAATCCTTATATCTTATCCAAACATTAAACAGCGCTTTCCTGACAATGTGGTTTCTAAATGCTTTATGTGCTTTGACCTTATCATACCATAGGTATGCATGCCATCCAAATACATTGTTAAAACCTTCCAAATCCAAAATGTCAGTGTTTTCAAGAAGTAGCCATTCTTTCAACCAGCAAAAAGCTGCTGATTCATAGTAAAGTTTAAGGTCTGGCAGGGCAAATCCACTCTCTTTCCTTTGCATCCGTTAGTATTTTAAATTTTATTCTGGGCTTCTTGCCCTGTCAGACAAATTTAGAAATATCTTTCTGCCACCTCTTGAAACAATCCATTTTGTCCACAATTTGCAAAGTTTGAAACAAAAACAACATTCTAGGCAATACATTCATTTTTATCGCAGCAATACGGCCCAGCAGTGAGAGCTTCAAATTTGACCAAATTTCTAAATCTTTTTTCACTTCAGACCAACATTTTTCATAGTTATCTTTAAATAAGTTCCCATTTTTTGCTGTCATGTTAATCCCCAGGTATTTAACTTTCTTAACCACTGTTAAACCCGTCTCATTCTGGAAACCTCTCTTTCAATCGGTGTTAAATTTTCTCTAGAACCTTGGTTTTTGACTTGTTCAATTTAAATCCTGCCACTTGACCAAATTCTTGAATCAGTTCTAAAACCCTTTTAGTACTAGATTCTGGCTCCTGTAACGTCAATACTAAGTCATCTGCAAATGCTCTCAATTTGTACTGTTTAGTTCTGACCTGTATACCTTTTAACCAACTGGTCCCTTCTAATCATATTCAGCAAAACCTCCAGGACCGAAATAAAAAGAAGTGGGGAAATTGGGCAACCTTGTCGTGTCCCT